GAAACACCAACAACTCGACTGTGTAATCCGGTTTTACTGCTCCTGAAACACCAACAACTCGACTGTGTAATCTGGTTTTACTGCTCCTGAAACACCAACAACTCGACTGTGTAATCTGGTTTTACTGCTCCTGAAACACCAACAACTCGACTGTGTAATCTGGTTTTACTGCTCCTGAAACAACAGCAACTCGACTGTGTAATCTGGTTTTACTGCTCCTGAAACACCAGCAACTTGACAGTGTAATCCGGTTTTACTGCTCCTGAAACACCAACAACTCGACTGTGTAATCTGGTTTTACTGCTCCTGAAACACCAACAACTTGACAGTGTAATCCGGTTTTACTGCTCCTGAAACAACAGCAACTCGACTGTGTAATCTGGTTTTACTGCTCCTGAAACACCAACAAATTGCCTGTGTAATCTCGTTTTACTGTTCTGTGTAAACTGTTAGCCATATGGACTCAAGCTTTACTTGTTAGCAAGTCAAGACAATTCACATCCTTTTTCAACATAAAACCATGTAGAAAATATGGTTCTTTCATCAGTTTTACTTTTGCTTCCAATAAAATTACTAGAAGGGGAGGGGGTAGTTAAATAAAAACTTACAGTAAGTATATATAATATTTTGAAATAAATATTTAGTTGTTGCTTTTTTGAGCAATTATAATAAATGATAGCCATAAAATAAAAACCTGACCCCACCGCCATTTGCAACTGTAACATATATCAATTAAGAAAAAGGTTCCCTTACAAGCTTTGTTAACAATTATAGGAATTTTCTGGGACCTGTTTTTATGCTATTAAAGCAAGGTGTTTACTGATAGATTTAGTTAATTTGATTGGCTTTCGGCACTGTTCTAAGATGGAGGTATAATTTAATTTGAATTTATAAAATAGGTATCTATCTTTAACTATTTAAATGTATTTGTTTTTATGTTAAGACTAATTGTTCTAAACACCTGGACCCCATTGTAACAAACAGACTCCTAGCCCTTTTTTTGAACGATGTCAAGTATTTAAAAATGAAAGAACTTTGTTAGCTTATATCAGAAACTATATTTCTGATAATCACCCGATTGGTGATGGAATTAGCATAGGCACAGTACATACCGAGATTGAAAGATTCATTATTTGTATTTAAGAAGAGAGAGAAAGAAATATTCCAAAAGTAAAACCAGAAAGCAAAGTTTTAAGAAAAAATTAACATTTAATAAACTACACTTCTATTTGGTACTCGGCAAAGACAGACTTTTTATTTGTGAAACTTTTTTTTTTGGCTCTTATTTGTGAAAGATAATACATGGCAAAACTAACAAAACGTCACCAGAAAGAATATTTCTGGTGACCAAGAAGATGCTTGATTAAATATAAAGTGATCTTAACAAAAAAAGAAATGAAAAAGTATAGAATAAATTCTGTTTCCTTGCACTGATTAATAAAGATATTTAAACAATGTTTTTCATCTCTAACTAGTATTGATATATTTGTAATAATAAATAAACTATACATTTTGCACTTAGTGTTTCTAC